GTAAAGCCTGTTGCCCATGGCTACATGAGTGCTCTTCCTGCAGCATTCCGAGGGAAGGAAATCAAAAAACTAAAAATTAAATAAAATATATATATAAAATAAATAAACTAACAAACAAAATCATCAGAAGATATATATATAAAAAAAAGATTTTTTTTAAACTCCAATCAGAGAGAAAAATAAAATATTTGTTTTTATATACGGTCCTACTTTGTTCAACAGGTTGTCAATTAATCTGAAAAGATGTTTCTTCAGGCATGCAGTGGGCACCTCACGGGGGCCTTTCTTCCATCCATCTCAAAATGTGGCCGTGATGAAATATATTGTACAGAGTTTGCAGTGAGCCGTAAATGTGCAGGTAACACTTTCGCTTCCGTGACGTTTGAGCAGTTTGAGTCGCCTTTCGGTTTCAGTGGCTGCGTGTCTGTCTGCAGTAGTTCTGGAGGCTGTTTTGTAGAAAAAAATAGAGAGTAGAAAGGTTCTGCGTTCGCAGAGTCAAAAGATTGCATTCACGAGTACAATTCACAGTTTTAAACAGAGGATGCAGCTATGCAAATAATATGTTCTTATATACAGACTGTTCTCTGGCCTGATAGCATATAGTAATACTTTTTTAAACCATGCATGAGTTTAGCTATAATATAAATATTCTAAAGAAGCCAAATTAAACACGTTACTACCTGCCAGGAGTTCATCTTTTCCCGAATGCAAATGTCATCAAACTCTCAAAAAGAGACTCTTCGGCATCCAACTGACTCGTTTTCTGTCTTTCTCTCATTTCTCTAATACACACACACACATACATACACGCGCGCGCGCGCACACACACACACACACACACACACATGACGAGCAGTTTGAGTCACCTTTCGGATTCAGTGCCTGCGTGTCTGTCTGCAGTAGTTCTGGAGGCTGGGTCAGTTCTTTGACATTGATCTTACAGTGTATTGGTTCAATCCGGTGTCACTCGCGGTCAGGAGAAGGGCAGTATCAGGTCATCCATCAAGGAAGAAGTGAAGACAGTCTGGATCCACAGTGTTTTTCAAAGTGTGTGTGTGTGTGTGTGTGTGTGTGTGTGTGTGTGTGTGTGTGTGGGTTTGAAATGCACGACTCAATGTTATTGATATACTTTTATGTCTGTATTTTAGCATGTGACTGTTTGTTAGTCGTGTGGGTGCGTGACTGTGTTTCACACGTGCGTTTCTATGAAAGAGTGAGTGTGCATCATCAGCGTTGGTGAGAGAGGTGAAAGGTCGTTGGACTCGTTGGGCGGTTCCAGTGGGGCAGAGCTGAACTCACAGATATCCAGGAAGAGCTCGTGGTTACGTTGCTTCCATTCACGAAACTTCCTCGAGGTCAAACAAGGGTCATCCAGCAACTGACTGATTATCGCCAAGTCACCCTCCTTTGCCTGTTGATGAAGGGGTAAGAGAGAGGTTGAAAACTCACTCAACTCCAGATAGTCAAGTTATTCTTTGTACAGAAAAAGCATTTGACTGGATTGAGCTTTTGAAATTCTTCAGATTTACCAAAACGTCAAAAATCTGTGCATAGAAAGAATGTGAAAGGGAAGCCAGAATTTTGAAAAAATTCTGTTAACACTACTAAACAAATATGAAGTAGCCTAATTAATATTCATGAGCTAAGCTAATAAGATTTAAAACATGTAATTTTACTGTTCAGGTAGTTCCTACACCCTTGCCAGATGGCAGCTGACAATCTTGCTAAATGTTTATGGAGATCCTCTAGAATTGTCCATTAGATTCCTCTCGATTTGTTTACGGAGATCAATTCTAAGTTCACTTTTGAACTTTGACCTATTCAGACTGTGATGGCATTTCTGCAATAATAATTTTTTTTTCTATTTCCTTTTTTAAAATTGGTAACTTGTGCTACCATTTATCCGCTTTGGGTTGGTATGATTTTTAAAATACTTTTATTAAAGGTATAGTTCACCCAAAAATGAAAATTCTGTCAAGAAAACCCTCATGTCGTTCCAACCCTGTAAGACCTTCCTTCATCTTCGGAACACAAAATTTGATATTTTTGATGAAATCTGATGAAATCTGAGAGCTTTCTGACCCTGCATAGACAGCAATGCAACTGACATGCTCAAGGCCCAGAAAGGTAGTAAGGACATTGTTAAAATAGCCCATGTGACATCAGTGGTTCAACCGTAATGTTATGAAGCTACAAGATACATTTTTGCGCGCAAAGAAAATAAAAATAACTTTATTCAACAATTTCTTCTCTTCCGTGTCAGTCTTTGATGTGCATTGAACCACTGATGTCACATGTGTCAGTTGCGTTGCTGTCTATGGAGGGTCAGAAAGCTCTCAGATTTCATCAAAAATATCTTAATTTGTGTTCCGAAGATGAATGCAGGTCTTATGGGTTTGGAACAACATGAGGGTGAGTAATTAATGACAGAATTTTCATTTTTGGGTGAACTATCCCTTTAAGCAAGGATGCATTAAATTGATCAAAAGTAACACTAGACATTTATAATGTTACAGAAGATTGCTTTTTCAAATAAATGCCATTCTTTTTTACTGTCACTATCACAGAGATAAATTACATTTTAAAAATGCATTAAAATAGAAAATGGCTATTTTAAATGTAATAATATTTTACAATATATCTATTTTACTGCATTTTAATCAAATAGGCTAAATGTTTTGGTGAGCATAAAAAACTTTTAAAAACATTACAAAAACATACAGATCTCAAACTTTCACCACAGTAGCGTACTAACACTATATTTTGTGCTGTATTACATTCATCTACTAAAAAACATAACTGCAGTGGAGTTTAAAGTAGAAGTTTACCCTGTTATAGTTTACGTCCAAACCCAAAAGTATAAAAAGGTCAACTGCTTTCTGTGTTTGCATACCTTTAGCGTGGAGCGGAGAACCCGTATACGGTGCAGTCGTTCATTTGTGGCGGGGTCATTGCTGCGTTTGATGAAGGAGCGTCTGAACTCTTGTTTGGTGGAAGGCCTCTGCTGGCCAAAAGCCGAGAGACTGGCCTGCTCCAGCGATCGGTACAGCTCCTGCAGGTCATCTGTGCCATCGGACACTTTCTCTTCGCTCTCAGGCCTCCTGCTGCTAGATTTACGAACCTGCTTTTCCTCCTCCTCTTCCTCCTCCTCTTCCTCATGGAGATGAGTTCTTGGCCTCAGTGTGCCATGTGTGTGCGCGTGAGCGTGTGTACGGGCACTGCGGTGCGAGTGTCCGTGTGTGTCGCGGTGGCGAGGGAGGCTCTGACTACGCTGCTTGTGATTGTGATGGCGAGGCCGGGACTCTTCGCTGTCCGTCAACGGAAATGGCCCGTCACGTTCCAGATGACGGCGGCGCTGGGCGGGGAGTGTGGCCTGTCGGTGCTGGTCAGGTGACAGCAGGGCTGGCTCCTCCTCTTCTGCGGTCTGAAGGTAGTGTAGGCCTGTGCTGGTCAAGGGGGTTTCAATCAGGTCCTGCCATGAGCGGCGTTCTCGATGGGAGGATCGGCAGGAAGAATGGGACTCCTCGGCGGAGGAATGTGAGAATGTGGAGCCACTGGAAAAATGGCGCTCAGGAAATGGACTGGACGAAGTTGCCTGAGGACAAAAGAAACACTGGTCATTATCATTGTCAGCTGTCAGTCAGAAAGTTAGAAGTATAAGATTACAGTCAGAGAGAGCGACAGAGTCAGTTCGCTATTTGTGTATAGTGCTGGTGTGGGAGCTGGTGCTTCGCAAACCTATCTGTGAGCCAAAAAAAATTACAAAACTGACCATGTTACATCATATATTGCCAAAAAACAAGCATGCAAATCACAGCTTTTATTTGCAATTTATTTTCACTTCGGAAGTAATGTAATTTAACATCTTGATGCCATCATTATGAGCTGGCTGGGCTTGGTAAGATTTTTAATACTTTTGAAAGAAGACTCTTATGCTCACCCAGGCTGCAATTATTTGATCAAACATAAACTAAATCAGTAATCCTGTGAAATATTATTACAGTTTAAGATTACTGTTTTCTATTTCAAAATATAATTTATTCCTGCGATTGCAAAGCTGAATTTTCAGCAGCCATTACTCCAGTCTTCAATGTCACATGATCCTTCAGAAATCATTCCAATATGCTGATTTGTTGCTCGTGTAATATTTATTATTTATTTGGAAGATAATTTTTCTTTCTTTTTGTGTAAATGACACTTGTGCTCACCGTCACTTTAATAAGTTTAATGCATCCTTAATTTCTTTAAAAATACACACTGACCCCAAAAAATTGAATGGTTGTGTGTATAATATAAATGATTTTTACAAATAATAATAAATAAAAACTTTTTTACTATGAAGTTGTCAAAATAATTGTATATTTTTCTATACATTCATAAATTCAAAATTGAAAATCAATTTGCAAATAAAAGTCTATTTCAGAAAGAAGAGGGAAAGAGTCTTCTTCTAAGAGAACGAACCTAGATTTGTGCCATGCAATTTTGTTTTGCAAATTGTCATTATCCTGATGCTTGACTTCTGATTTTACTGGTTCCTGATTTGAGGTTTAAGTGGAAATTGTTAACAGGCCTCAAAACCAATATGGTGACAGTGTGACGGTAGAAATAGAAATAGTTTCTGTTAAAGAAAATAAAAGTGTGTTTTGGGCTGAATGTATGCAATGTGTACTTAGACGTGAGTTTATACTCACAGAGGGGTTGTGGTGGTACGTGGCTTCCTGTTTGAGTGTCATAGAGCCATCAACCTCATCCTGGTCACTCTCACTCCAGTAATCTAAAAAAAAAAATCAGAATCACATATACATGATATTATAGTTTATAATAGTCAGATTAGGCTTTTCAACAGCTTACAGAACAATGAAATGGTGTAAGACTAGAGTCAGTGAGATCACAGCACTATGGGCTCATGATTTGATCACAGGATGTGATCTCACCTTCATCAGGACGCGGTACCGGATCATCAGGCGTATAGCCAATCGCAGCCAAGCCTAAACGGTTCATCCACCTGAAACACGAAACACAGACGTGAGAGGAAGTAACAGAGTGGGTAGCTGATGTCTGAGAGGGCTCTGAAACAACTTACCTGTTCATCTCCTCTAAATGATCTGTAGCAAAAAAGAAACTCTTAATTTTGGGATGACATGCTTTGAAGGCACTGAAACACAAAAGACAAAGAAAAAGAGACATTCACACACAAATATCTAGTTTTTGTGTGTGTGTGTGTGTGTGTGTGTGTGTGTGTGTGTACTGGTTTATATATCCTTGTGGGGACTTAAACCTGAATACACACAGACTCATGGGGACTCGTGTCACAGTGGGGACCTAAATTGTGGTCCCCACGGGTACAAAAGCTTATAAATCATACAGAATTAAGTTTTTTGAAAATCTAAAAATGCAGAAAGTTTCCTGTGAGGGGTAGGTTTAGGGGTAGTGTTGGTGTAGGGCAATAGAATATACGGTCTGTACAGTAGAAAAACCATTACGCCTATGGAGAGTCCCCACAAGGATAGCTGACCAGACATGTGTGTGTGTGTGTGTGTGTGTGTGTGTGTGTGTGTTTGTAAAAGAAAGATCAGCAGTTCTGCAGTGACCCAATTTCCGTTGGGTTTCAAACACGGACCCACCCAAAAACCAGCAAACCCAACACAATAGAGAGAAAGAGTGATTATTGTTGTCCTCTAACACTCACTGTTTCCTCCTGCACTCAATTGCTCTGTCTATCCGAAACTCTGGCAAAGTGATGAAGCCCTCTGCTTTCTCATCCTGAGCAAAGAAATAAAGAACAAGAGGAATCATTTCGGCATGACAGCAGTTACATGATCGTATAAATGCACAGATTTTCTCTATAACTGAGATATGTGATGCACACTTTAATATGCAAAAACTAGAAAACTAAACATCACTCCCGGGTGTGAGCCTGTTACCAGGCCATCAATGAAGGCAGCAGGTAATGAAAGTGCTGATAATTCTGTAATTAGTAATAATAGTAGAGATTGACTGGCTGGATGTGGAACTGTAAAGCTGTTTCAGATCCCAGAAATATTTCAAGTGGAAATGGATAAAAGATTGAATTCTATACACTTTCATACATCCTACACACACAACCCAAGAGAAGGGAATTGGGTTTGTTTACTTACGTTCTGATTGGTGTACCAGTACAGGTTGGAGTCTTTGAGAACGAACCAGTACTTCTTCCATTTCTGTGTGAAGTAGCCGGTGGCATCCTTCTTTTTCCATAGCCAGCCTTCACAGTCGCCATGACCCAGATCTTTGCAGGCAATACGCCTCCTGCTGGCACTACTGAGGGAACCTACACACACACACACACAGCATATTAAATGACAGAATAACATTGTGATAATATTCTTCTTGACAAACACAGCACAGTGTAACACAACACACAACCCATGCGCTCAAAGTAAACCCAGGAGCTTGTATGCATCTCATCTCATTGTACCTTTGCTTTTTTTCTTGGGCTTGGTCCTCAGAGAGGCATAATGTACAGACTAGAGAGAGGAGAAGAAGGACACATAAGGAACAAAGAATTGCTTGTGTCATTCTCATAAACCAAAGCCTTGAGGATTTCTATTTAAAACACATTATGAAGTTCTATAACAGACAAATACATGTTCCTCCTTGCATGTATTACAAATTAAAAATTTTGAATTTAATAAGTAATAAGAAGCATACATCCTCATTACTAAAAAGTAGGGCTGCACGATTAATCGCATGCGATATTTAACGCGCATCTTGTCAGAAAGCCGGTTCTGTAATCAGCGGTAAATCTCCATCACCTGCGTGCTTTCACATTGAGCAGCATTAACTACACAGAGCCGTTGTTCACTGACGAGCTGCGCTAAACCACGTTCATATTCGCGCGATTTTTTGCGCTGCTCATCAGTGAACAACGGCTCTGTGTAGTTAATGCTGCTCAATGTGAAAGCACGCAGGTGATGGAGATTTACCGCTGATTACAGAA